TCAAGAGGAGCATACTGTTGTTGGCGGGGACTTGTATTTTCTTAATTGGTGTTGGAAAAACTTCGACATGGTTGGAACACCAGGTCAAAAAACTTGGGAGTGAAAGGTACAAATTTAGGCGATATCTTTAGGGTTCAAAAAAGCGGTTCCTTTCTGGTTGTCTTAAGGTTTAACCTACAGATCAAAAACAAGAAGGGGTTATTGAAGTCTGCGAGTATTTTTGAACAGATGTCTGAATGTTAGCTGCAACGTCTTCACCTCGACGTACTGCTTCTGCGGTGATGAAGAAACCAATCACTGTTAACAATTCAATTCTTTGTATGTTGTTTTTCTCGTTTTGTCTGCAAGCTAAATGGGTCTTTTTCGCTTTACATTTTTTTTGACTTAATTTCAGGACTTTAAGTGCTTAAATCTTTATTGCCTAAACTGGTTACATTAATTGTCCAACTTGATTTTTTTTTTTGTCTAATAAGATTTCTTTTTGAACGTTAATGAAGCTTTTTTGTCTTTTGCTAGGACAATTTAAAGTTTTTGCATGTAATTTGATGCTCAGTTTGTGTACCTCAGCAGCTTTTTAACATTTTTTAGTGGAGTCATTTCTTCATATTGAGCACAATGAAGGTTTCTTAAACGCTTGATTATGAATTTTTTAGCTCAGAAGAAAGAGATAGTATGCGTTACGCAGCAGTTATTGGATTCTATTTCATGCAAAGACTCTTCCATTTATTCGTTAGTCTACTTACTAATGTTACTATGTTTATCGAAAGTTATTTTGAAACTATATGCCGATGCGTTCCTAGATTTTTTCATAAGCTATTTTTAGACGGGTTTCGTTCAAAAACTGATTTTCCCAGTCGTAATTTGTACTTCAAATCTTTGCTGATCTAGTCGTCCTAAATTTGTTATAGGAATGAGAAAAAGTGGACAATATTTGGCCTTTGGTACTTAATGTTTTTGAAAAAAAAATAGTTTAGACAGTTGGAAAGAATTAAATAAAGGAACTGCATTGATTTTTGGTGAGCCGTTGTTGTTATGCATGCCAGGTCATCGAAATATTTAGGAAACTTTGTGATGCCGGTATGACCTGTTTTGAACCGGAATCGGTGGGCAATTTGATTGAAGGATTGGATTTCCATAAATTTTATTTTGAAGGCGGTAATTAAGTTATTTTGTTGATAGTTTATCTTGAACTTTGTTTAGACGGCTGGATAGTTATCTTGTGGCTTATATAACTAAAACACGATAGTTTTTGATTCTAGTTACCAATCGTGTGCCGAAGATTCATACTACTATGTTGAATCCAAGCGTTCATATATTAGGTGATGATGGGGCTTGCATTGCGTACATCCGTTTAACACAGTATATTGACAGGTTATTTCGGTGACTTTTAGTCTAGATATGATCGCGTTTAAGAAGCTTATGGTTTTGATTACAGGAATGGTGAGGCTCGATCTCGACGGTCAGAAGAAACTCGAGTTTGGCAAAAGCAGAATGGACGCGGTTGGGTGTGTGTTCATGTTCATCGAACTGGTGCTCCGTCTTTTGTGAATACAGCTAGTCTTGATTGATAAATTGAGTAATGTTCCTTTCTATGTGTTAGCTTGAAATTTTACTGCTCATGGGTTTACAATGAAGTTTCTTTCAGTATTAGATTGTACGCGAAACTGACAGGCAAGAAAGTGTTAAAAGTTTTTATTAATTGACAATTATTTTTGGTATAAATAAAAGCGTTTAGAGTTCTCCATCTGTTAAGTGATTTCATTGAGTAATTATTATTGTTATCAATAAAGTTTTGGTTTTTTTATTATTGTAATTGTTATTATTGAGTTTATCAGCACTAACGTTGTTATCACCGTAAATATTATTTCTAATGTTATCTTTATTGGTAATGTTTTGTTTCGCTGTTCTGATATCATTTATTTTAGTTCGAACTGTTCTAAGAGCTGCTTATTCAGGGGGACTTCTAGATTTTTTGTTTCTCAACGTCATTGCTTTTTCAAACTCAGGAGACCAGAAAAGTTATAAGATATTCGAGTCTCACGTAAGAGGGATTTGTGTGGCTATGTAATTTGAATTTCTTGTCCTTGTTCGTTATTGAACTCTGAGGTTGTTGCTAAGACTAGTAGAAGTGGTGCCAGTGGTATGATAGGAAACGCTAGTGGGGATTCTTATTTTCCCTCCGGTATTTTTAGTTTTACGCTTTATTTATTTCGCTTTTATTTGTTTTAATTTACCTTTTTCATTGACTTTTTTTGTTCTTCTTCGCTCTTGCCATACAGCAAGTTTGTAATTGTCATCTGCTTTTTTTTTCGACGCATAAGGGCATTCATTATTTGGATATTTGGATGTAGAAACTTGGCGCCACTTGTAGCACGATAAGGTGTTTCGTACTTCTCACATTTATTTTGCTGCATTTTAGAGCTTTTTCGTAGTAGAGTGGTATTTACGTTTGTTTTAAATCTCCTTACTTAATATCCCGCGCAGTATCTGTTCATTTGATTTGGTCTTTTTCTTAATCCCACTACTTTCATTTTTCTTTTGATTACTAGAGCAGCATCTAATCTGTACTAATCTGTAGTTATTTTAAGGCTTTATTGAAGGGTCCCACATGCTTGACACATATTAGGATTTCTAGGGATAGAGGGGTGCATGGGAAGGTAAAAGCAGCAGGATGTTTTGGGATTGATGATGAATAAGGAATTAAAGGCAGTGTTTGGTTCACTTCAGCAATTGAATTTAAACTGTGAGGTGATTGTACCTTAAAGACTGTGTAAGTCAGTAGTTTGAAAAGCGGATATGGTAGATTGATTAGGGTGCGGAAAAGTTTTTTTTTTTCTTTTTTTTTTTTCTTTTTTTTTTTTTTT